CGGGTGCAGTCACACCATGCACATCTCGTGTGACCCAAAGGTACGTGTAGCCCCGTTACATAGGCAATAATCTTCCTGCAACGGGGTTGCCGTGCACGTTGCCTGTAGGAGGCTTCGACTCTAAGACTGCGTTTGACAAAAGCATAGAGGTTGGTATCTTTTCGCCGAGCATCAGCGGACCGAGAGCCTCAACCAAAACTGTCTATTCCTTTTTTCACGGATGACCACCAAAGTGGTTCCAACCGTGACTTACTGTGTAGCTAGCTTTACAATTTCAAGAGCACATATCCTTAAAATACAACATACATTTTCACTATTTTTAAATTAAGAAGATCATTTTTAATTTCTGATGTTTGGCTAGTAGCCCACGTGTACCGAGGACATATCCTCTTTGGAGTTCCTTCGTCTTCATGAACACCGATTCTTCGCTTTCTATGACCATTCACAGTTGCATCAAATTGCAGCGTGTATTTCGCACAATCACAACATATCGTAATGAGTGCAATTGCAGCGGAGCTGCCGTAGCTTTGCGCTTAGAGGAAGCGTAAGTTAGGTCACCGACCTTTCGTTCTAACTTAGAAACAAGAACGAGTCTAGCGGATCGCAATCCGCTTACACCAAGAGTGATTACAACCTTAACCCAAGGCGAATTAATGCTTCCGTTTAAATTCGAGAACGAACTTTTTTATTTTATCTGCGGCAAAGCCGTTTGATTTTAAATGCATAGATTCTCCTAAATATGTATAGTAAAATCTAAGTACATGTATAACTACTGGCTATCCAGCCCCGTATTGTATATTTGTTTGGGTGTGGTCACACCATGCCCATCTAGTGTGACATACACCCCTGTAACGAGGGTATGTGTGACCCCGTTACAGCAATCGTACCATATATGTAGGGGTAAGAGCACAAGATTACAGGTTCCACCCTTTCTCACTTAGATGTTGATCACACCGGTGTTCACACTTGTATTGCGTTCTTACTATGCTGGAAAATATTTAGCGCTCCACATGCAACCACTGCACCTGGGTTAGACATAGTTTCAGTGCTTTACCGTGTCTGCTCTTGTGAATTTACTAGCTCCTGTGAGCCAAACCATATAGCTGAACGAGTCTCTACGCAAAACGCAGTTTCTGCGACCGAAACATGTGAAAAAGACATCGTGAAATTTCTCCAGCCCTCACCCGACAATAGTGCCACTGGATCGGAAATCGGTATTGTGATGTAAAAACGGAAAGTTCACGTAGAACACAGGATCTTTGTGATGCGTTTTCGCTGCGACCGTGAGCAGTCCGATATAGCTCGGTTGCAACTTAGTCTTACAGGTAGCAAACACAGAATGAATAAGTAGATTTATTGCGGCCGATCCTTTAGCTCACAACATGTTCGTGTGTGACTCACCTGCCATTGGAGTTGGCCCGCTGCTGATAATTAGTCCTGGCTATGAGCACCTTCTCAAGGTCATTGAAAGAAATTTTCTGACTTTTTTACGAAGTGTAATCGGAATGATTTCAGCAAACTGCCACACTATACAATAGCCACGTCATGCGGGGTCAAGGCACCAGGAAATTTACCAAATCATTAATGTATATTGGAATGGAGCATATAGAGGCATGTACCGCGTTATTTAATGTAAGCTCAATGAGTAGGAGTGAATCGTTTCAGCAGCTCCTTAACGCACAAGCGTTCCGAAGGATTCCCTCCACAACGCGATTATTTGTGTTCCGTCTGACGATCTGGTTGACGATCTGGTTGACGATGGTCAGTTGTTGTCATACCCAATTTGGTGCCGAGCACCTTCTTTTTCAAATATTTATTAAAATTTTGCTATCCAGCGCGGATACACGTAACCAGCAAGCCATGGTAACGAACACTTCGTTAATGACTGCTTTGCTGTATCCTCACCGGTCACATTCTCGTTGACGGCAGCGAGATAAGCCATTTTTTGCAAAGTGTCTACAAATGACGGTAATACTAATCGAAAGACCTAAAATGCCCATTCATTTGGAAAGCCAACAACTAATAAATTCGGCAGGCTGGACAAAGGTGCGACCGCCTGCAGAACGAGAATTGTTATTTGATACTTACCACGTGTGCACAATACCTAGCTATTTATGTTAGGCCGTCAAAACATTGCGCTCACCGTGTAATTTGTCCTTGTTTGCGAAGTGCCATCGAAAGCAGATACAATATTGTTGTATGTTTGGTTGTCGCAGAAGATACAGTCCTCTCACGAACAGGTCCCGGAATTGACTACCGAATGTAAGGGATGCGCCGTGCACATTGCTCAGAGATTGGATTCGCGCCCTTACCAGGGGTGAAATCGAGCACCTTGACCGTAACTAGCTGTCTAGTTAATCCTGCAATTTCAAGTGCAAACCCAAAAAATCAAATAAATCATACTGCAGATTTACGTTTTTAGCATCTCTGAAAATAAAAATGCTGGATTCACCTCTCCCAGGATTCCATCTACGCCAGGAAAGCTACTTCCAATCGTTTTCGACCGCAAATCGATTCATGGCTCATGCTTCTCAAGCCACGGTATGCCTAAAATCAGGTCATACCATTTGTCCATTTCGAGGACTGTGAATAATTCCTTCGAGGTGAAGTCTTTAAACTCCAGTTGAAGATCAAGTATAATTTTCTTCACAGCGACCACCGCACCAGTGGCCATCTTCACTGAGATAAAGCCATTGTTTCTATCTATTACACCCAAAAGCACTGAAAATATTTCAGCAACACTTTGCTTCCGCACGTAGTCATGCGACACGCCTGAGTTAATAAAGACTTTGGACGAACGACCGCAATCCTTCACACTCGCTGTTTCAACGAGGAGACCACTCCGCCTCGTGTCGTTAACGATGGACAGCGATCATTCAAGGGCTAATCCCTCGTGAGTGATTCTACCACCACACTCACCAGTTTATATAAATGCCCCAGTAGACCGCTCTATGTCTACTGGATATCGTAGTGTCCTAAACCCCCCGTGATATTGATACCACTTGGCTCGGAACGATTACGACGAGACCTGTATTGAGAGGTTGTCTCCCACGTCGACCATCACGGCGAATGTGACCAAATGTGACATCCATTACAGTGCACGGACAGTCACCACACTAAGATCCATCGATTCTAAAATTCCAGTTTGACCGATTGACCGCGTGCTTGACGTTGACAGTAGTGCTCACGCAATGCAATCATAATTGCATCATCCAGAGTCGTTGGACTCTGGCGGAAGACTTCAGTCTTAAGAGGCCCATAAGTAAGTCCACATTGACCACCACTGCCATTGGCAGTGGTTTGCTTGCAATACTGGCGCGAAGCTCACGGAGCTTCTGTACATAGTTGAACAATGACTGTTGTCTTGACGGCATGACCACAACTTCGACTGTTGTCGAAATGCCATATTCGGCGGTAGGAACATCAGTTCCATGACCATCATCATCTCTTGCCATGTGGCAAAGTAGCCGGGGAGGTTGACTTCCCAAGTCATTACTCAAACTTTCGCTCGGTCATCCAAATGCAACATGGCAAAGGCTACTTGACCGCGGTTATCACGGATTTAAGCCATCGCGATAGTGCTGTTCATTTTACTCTAAAATACAAAATTTTCATCATCGTTCCCATAAAAGCTTTCTACCTTCGTTTTCACGGGGCGTGCCGTATTTACCGACGGTGTCACCACCGCTTGTAGTGGAGATGACGGAGCTGGCGTCAGTATGTTCTGCGCTAGATCACCAATAAATCTTGCCCATACGCAGTAAAATTTGATTAAGTTATTGCGTCTTGATCCAATTGGAGCATGTCGAAGCCCGCGGGATGTCGGATTAAAGCTCATCGCTTCACCACACACTCCCATTGCGAGTATGTTAGAACAAATATTTCTCCCTGTTGATCTAAGGGCGACCACCGCCTGTGGCGTCCACATTACCCATGGATGAATTCATCGAAGTAGTCGGCGTTGGAATGACTACAAGTGCTACCAATTATAACCGGATGTGCTCGTCCGTATACATGGAGAGACTAAATTAGTAAACACGCTCGACCATTAACGTGAATGATGAGAAAAAGATGAAGTGACATTTATTTTGGCCAGAAGGCCTTCAACCTTCCCTAAACTGATAAATGCCTTCTTTTTTGATATAACAAATTATGGGATATTCAACTGTGCAGGGTATATAGAAAAATGTTAACCACACACGAAAGGATGGGGTTTACACAAAATGTGTTATAGGACTGACTTAATTACACTTAAGCAATAATATATACATCTATAACTAAACGTAGGTCAAAAGATGCCGGCAGTGTTGAAAAAGGCAAGTATAACTGAGCTAATTCTGTCACTACAAACAAATGTCAGAGACCGCAAAACAGATTTGTCCCTTTCCACAAAGCAATATTACAGAATAATACTTATTTAGTCTGGTAAGCTTATTTTTAGTTTGTCTTATCGTAGGCAAATTACAACTAATCTAAGTCCTGTAATGCACGTCTTAAGCTTATCATAAATTTAAATTTACCGTCGGATTTAAGGGAGGCCTTCGTCCGACCAATCGATCTAAACACCATAAGGGTGTTACAGAAGCTCCGAGAATTATAATCCGTTGCAGCGCTTGTCGGTCAGCATCACGTGTATGACCTAAAGACCGACTGATATTTCTTAAGTGCTGAAAATTGTTTTACAGCCGGTATCAACCTGTTTTCACTAACTGTCAGCGTGACATCAGCACTCTCTGACGCCACCGGTTTGGATGCTGGTAAAGGTATTTTCGTTAGGAGAATCGCAGCTTTATTATTGGACATTTTCATCTGCGCTTTGACAGTCATGACCACTTTCCCAGCCAGCCATGACGCTGTTTTTGACGATCTCGCCCAAATTGATGTTTTGTAGCAAATTAAGAGCGCATGGTGCTCACCTAATGGTCTCAAAGCTGGTCTTCAAATGATTTTGCTCACTTGCACACACAGGTACAGCGCGTGACTCCAGCACTTGTATAACGTTAATAAATGCTATATACTTGATAGTTTATTGAGTCTAGTAATTAGAGAAGTATTTAGCGCACGAATAGGGGTACAACTCGCTATGACTATGGTCTTGTCGACTTCAGCTTACACTAGCTTGAGCCCAAGCCATTTGCGATTTACAGCTACATCTCGCCACACTTCTTGCAGAGGACGGCTGATTGGTAACCTTCGTTTCAGAAAGTACCGTTGAGGACCAAGTCAGCTTATTGTGGTTACAGAGAGCCTTTCGTGCCACTCGTTTCGTGTGTCATCTATTTCTTAATGGTGACACTACACATCGGCAAAACTATCAACTTGGCGTTCAAATAAACCGAAAGTTGTGCTGTTTAGAAAGCAACGGGTTTTGTAGCTCAAATTTACCTTTTTAAGCGTTAAGCACGTTGACAGCGCTACTCCTCACAAAGATACGCGAGGTTGTACATCATGCCAAGAAGCCCAAAAATCATATTCCATTCGGGACAAACGATACCCCTTTTGTAGATCATCTCGATTAAAAAACCTACGAAACTGACGCTATTAACAAGCTGCCCAGGATGTAAAAAGGGTAAGCACTCATGTACGCACAGGTGAAACGTGTCAGAAGTTACTAAAATCTCCGCATGTTTTAAGGCGCCTCGAGAACGCGTTAAAGAAACGCCTGATGTTATCAACGGACGGGCATCAAGACGGTGGGAGAGTATCAAAGTTAAGTTATGTCTGAAAACTCATTAATCTGCCAAACGAGGTTCACCCCTGTCGGTATTGTTTGGTGAAATTAGCGTGTGGGTCTGCGCATCCCCTGGGGGCTTAACTAATATATGACAAAGCAGATGGTGTTTACTATCATTGGAGTTCAAAGCTCCACTCCGGTAAAAAAAATTGTAGCGACGTTGATTTTTATGACCCGTTACACACTCTGCCATTGATTCCCCAGTAATTACATAAGGTCGAGCGGCGTATCATAGAAAGTGGCTTTCAGCTTTGTTCTAAGTTCATGATTTAGCACCGCGGTTTCATCATCACGAATATGGCTAATTTCAGCATGAACTGCTGCTGTCCGCAAACAGGAAATAAAGGAATTGCCTACCTCGACGTTCTCGTCACGCTGTGAGCTACACAAAGTCAGGCATTACGAGTTTCTCGAATCTAACTCTATATCTTTGGACTTCTACCTGCTTGTAAAGCTACAAAACTGTAAGACGAAGAGTCTTTGTCACCCATTGCACGATGTAGCCATATAAACCTTGGCAATGTTATGAGACCATATACCATAGGAACAGTCCTCATGGAGGGTGCTGACTGACGTTGCGAGGCGCACGAGTCTAAGGACTGCGCCGCAACGCGCCAAACGTCGCAAGTTGATCAAATAAACACGACTTGATATAGCCTTTGCCATATGTTATTTTGGCCCCACTTAATTCGCTGTACTTTTTTACCAAATCGAGAATGTAAATTACACGAATTATGAAAGCGTCCAAAAGTAAAAAACGATGAGTGAAGGAGCATTGTTGCTGCCCATAAATTCATCTTGTCCAGTCCCTACCAAAGTCAATGAAAAAAGAAATCCTCACGCGTTGCTGGGCATGGCGTATGTTGCAATGGCGTCGCTATGCTTTAGCTTTATGTTTACCTTTATCAAGTATATGACCCTGACCTTTTCGTCCATGGAGGCTACATTCTGGCGCTCAGCCGGCGTGCTCGTCTGCAACTTTGTAAGTTGCTGTAGCTTAATGTGCAATAGGTTTTGGTATATTGACACTTTTGTACTCAGAGCAGATCGTTGCCAAGTTCTTTCACATCAGTCTTTACGTTGAGCCAAAATTTCGTAAGATGCTGCTATATCGCTGCATCGCAGGTTTTTCCGGCATGAGTTTCGCCTTTTATGCCATGTCCCAGATGGTGCTTGCTGACGCTACTTCCTTGAGATTCGTCAGCCCTATACTCACCTTTTTCATGGTTTGTTGAGCGTCTCATATAAGCTTAAAGCGTGCTTACTAACGCTCAGTATAATTGCTGTCCATGCGAAGGGTGCGCTGATGCTTGATGAGAAAATTGATCTGATTAGTATGATCAGCGCCATCGTGGCGTTTGGTGGCCTCGTTTGTGTTGTCCGCCCAAGTTTTCTGTTTGGATACTACCATCCGACGGCTGCTGCAGATGGCTCCTGGATCGCAATTTGCTCAGCTTTGCTAGGCGCGGTATGTCAAGCACTCGTTTACTTGACAATGCGCCAACTGAAAGAGCTCAGTGTCTTTGTAATTGTGCACTATTTTGCACTAGCGAGTGTTATTTGGACGATGCTGTGGCTGATGTTCATCCAGCAGGTATATGACGAAATTTCATATTTGTATTTTAAAGCAGTGATTGCTAATACTCAACGTACTTTGACAGTCCTTCTACCTGCCTAATACGTTTTTGTTGTGGAGAGCAATTTTTGGCACTGGGATTGTTACATTTAGTGGCCAACTTTTTGTTACGCGAGGGATCCAATTGGAAAAAGCAGGTATCGTGGCAGCCGTGCGCTACTTAGACGTCGTCTTTGTTTTCATATGGGACTCCACGATTCTTGGCGAGCACATCAATCACTGGAGTATACTTGGTGCGCTAATTATATTAATCTGCGCAGTAATAATTGCAGTTCGCAAAGTCACGATGACCCTTTAAAACATAAGTGACAGCAGCAAGTCCAAAGTTTACGACATCATATACTTTTTTTAAGGAAGTTTTAGTGCAAGTGTTTCATGACTAGGTAATGACATCAGACGTTGGTGATGCGCCTATTAGTAGCTCATCCATACTTTTTCGTCGACGCATATATTTTGAGGTTGCCATCGATTTCTGCTCTTGTTGGGTTTGTAGAGGAGTTATTATGCTGTTGATCAAAGCCTCCACATGAGTTGCTTCATTGTTCAGAGCAAACTTTGCCCGTTTGACTGCTTTTTCAAATTCGATACGCTGACGTTTTAAAGGGGATGGAATGATTGACGACGAGCTATATTGAGGAACAACAAACTTTTCAATATCAAGACGGCGACGAAGCACTGTGTTAAATCTGCGTCGGGAACGCAAATATCCAGCATCACTTATGACAATACCGAAATCAAAGTAAACATGCGGTAGCATGTACGTGAGTCCGTCCGCCTCAACCATGTCTAGATCGAAGCAGCAACGCACCAAGCTGTTAGCTCGAGCTGGAGTGCGCATCAGGTCTTCAAGCGGCAGCCGATGGTACGACTCTGTAGAGTGTCGAGTCATAAGAGGTGTGGAAGAGGCGTAACGCTCGACTGAGTAGCCTTCCAAGTGTTTGTCAATGTCGTCAGACTCGATGACTGAAAATTCACTGGCATTCACATTATGTTGACGATCCCGCAGTCGAGAAAAATACATAAACTTTCCCACAAGCAGCACAAAAATCAGCGCTAGAGTCTGTGTAATCAGAAGTGATAGCGGAGCAAGTAGCTTTCCTATCGTATATGGTGAAGTCGAACAAAACCTGTCAATTTCCTCATCATATGAGTTCCAAAGCGCAGACCAGCCGTAAAATGATTCGTTATCGACTCCGTGCTGGTCTTCAAGTTGTCGTCGGGCAATCGACCCATTAAATAAAGTGGGCGTTTGGAGGGTCGCTATGAAACCCAAAGCTAGCAGTATCTCAAGTGGACTGACATAAGTGTATTTCACAATTCTATATGCTCGAGCTTCAGAAATACGCACGAATGCACTCCAGATTAAATTGAGCAAACTGATCACAAGCATCGAAATTCGAATGGTAGAAACAATTGCGTAAGCTTTTCCTCGATGATCTGTGCACCACATAAAATCGAACGGGAGATTCACGAGCCACGAATCCAAAGCCGATACAATTGTCAGTCCTATGATATACTCGCTGCGATACAACGAACGATATAATTGCAACCACCTTGAAGTTCTGAGTACATCTCTTTCATTGTCACTGATTTTCTGGAATCCAAGAAGAGATTTCCACCCAAACATACGAGCCGCCTCGAATGCTGCACGTATGTGCGCGATGAGCAGCGTGACATCCACAAGGATTAAAATGACGTAGAGATGTCCAAAAGTGGAGAAGTTTGTATTGTTTCGCTCTTTGACGATGACGTCGCCAGCTTTTTCTTGCAATATAAAATGTGAACGAGAGTTTTTCCGTGAGATTAACTCGAATCCCATAATATCCACCTTGCTGACCGCTAAGTGCGCTAAATTGTCATGTAACTCGGCAAAAGTTGTCAAAGACGCGCCAATAAATGAACTCTCAAATCCGTTGGGGCTGTTGCAGACAAAGACAGAGGCATGATAATGTCCTGGCCCCGCAGTGTATTCAAATCCTTGCGCACAAATTACATTTGTTAGCGGGTGGCTGTTACTGAGAAGATTGAGCAATCTCAGAAGCTCAGCTTCAGCTATTGAGTGAATTGGAGCCATATTATCAGGATCCACTTCAGCCTCCGTCAGTCGATACCGCTGGGCGAAAAATGTGACGAGGTTTTCTTGGCAAATAGGTGGTCTTCGGTGAAAAAATAGAAGCTGGCAGCTTACCCACGCTACTGAATCAACACTTGAACTTGCAGAGAGAATCAAGTTGTGAGAAATTTGGGACTTAGTCGATGAAAGTGATCCAAGATCGCAATCAGTTCCCATAACCACGTCAAACGCCCTGCTGTTTATGGGCGCGTACAAGTCTCTGCATCGCTGGTAAAGTGATGTCCAACCAGATACTCGATAGAAGTTTGAATTTTTTTCGGAATTAGACTCATTTGGGTTTGAAAATACCGGTTTCGGGAGAGCCTCATGATCGAAACCGAGTTCACGATCCACATAGAACGAGAACGAGTCCGGTGGTCCGATCCAAACAACTTTTACATATAAATCGAAAATGTCGAGGCTGTAGAAACCAAGAAGCGCAGCGAGGCGCAAAAATGGAGACATCTGCATTGTCGAATCACGATTGGCGTAAAGTCCTTTACATCGACGTCTTTTCGCAAACAAGGTAATGAAAAAACGAGCTCGCTTTTATTTTGTATCATTTTGTGAATAGAAAATGCATTACGAGACTCAACGACATAATATTAACGATCAAAATGCGTAGTTTGGGGCAAAGAGTGGACAGGCCAAAATAACTAAGTAAAATATATTCATGTTTGAAAGATAGAAAATAGTTACTTTTGCAACTAACGTACTTGCTCTATTGTAGCGCTCTTTTTTATAAACCTTCCCCTTTCGGAGGAATAATCAAATGCCATCCTCAATAGAGCGGGCTGGCGGTATGTGCAAAGTTCAAACTATGTCAAAACGGAAGGCAAATGATATGTCAACGAAACTGGAAGTAATTGAATGAATTTGTGATCACGCCGCTGGCATTTCCTCACGAGCTGCCAAACAGTTTGATCTCAGTCCAGGGACGGTGCGGACCTGTTGGGCGAATTGCACAGGAAGCTCTATTTAGCGATGTCCAAAAGAAGCCCTCAAGCGGTAGCGGGTGCACAGGCATCCTTACTGAAAGTAATGAAGAAATCGCTGATATTATTTGAATCTGAGGGCCGCAAAGGAGCGTGTGACCAGAGAGCCGTTCGCCACATTGCTCAATAGATCGCGAAAGGTAGAACATTAAAGAAAAAGAATTCGAGGCATCTGATGGCTGGTTGGCCAAGTTTATTGAACGCAATCAAAGCATTACGTCGGGTTATGCATTTCTGATGAAGTCCTATTGAATCGTGCTTTTGAGTACATGAGATATCTGGCCAATCTCAGATCAACATGCGTTCCTTCCAACATGGTGCTAATGGTCAAAATTGCTGTTCATTTGGAAGACCCGCGGCGTACAGCAATGGATATAACATTGCACTGAAAACTACCAGATTTGCCTCAACGAAAATAACAGTTATGCTCGCCGTCATAGTTTATGGCAGTAAAGTGACACCCTCGTGCTATTCAAGGCAAAAAGTTTGCCTATTCGAAGGAAGCATGACATACGGGCTGTATGCTAATGCAAGACATGGGATAACAAATGATTACTGATTTCACGGATGGAGCATATATTTCCGCGCGATGCATGCGAGTCTCAGTGTGTGGAATCCTTTGGCGGGAATCCAAAATCTTGGAACGGAGAAATGATTATGAATGGGTTAAATTGGTTAGCGGATGTCTTCAAAACTTTAATTTAGAAATGCATTCACCGCGCTGACTTTTATGACGATTTTAAGAATGGCATTTTACTCGGTACGATAATTATGGGTCGCGATCTACGGAACTATGGATAACAAACCGAGTGGTAAATTATACAAGATCTTGAAGTAAAGAATAATTATTTTTTGGACGGCGATCTCCCTAATGAAACGCTCTTTCTTTTAGTTCGCCCCATGTAGAGGGGCTTTGGATTAGAGCGAGTACATCAATTGCCCACCAAGCAGAAATTCCATCATTAAAAAAGTTATAAGCTACTGCGGTCGACGGTCATATTCTGAAATTTCGCATAAAAAATAGCCAGAAAAGCTTAATAATCACGATTGATTGAGATTTCGGCGTTGCAGTACAAGCAAGACAATCACTTTTGGGTGGAAGGAGAACGATGAATGCTCCGGCAATTGATCGCTTTTGTCTTGAGTAATGGCCACAAAAACACTTCCTGCGATTTATATTGGATGCTTATCAGTCAGCATTCGAGTGATCTGCTTAATTCAAGAATATCGGCGAGTAATGTCTTACGTGGCGTGACCTGTTGGGTATCGTGGAATACCGCTTTGGACAAAAATTTGCTGAGCAGCAGATACCCAACAGCGAAAGCCGAATCCGAGACAATTTACATAGTGGGGCTTCATCGGAGTCTTGGCAGCGGACCAAGTCGCTGTCACCGAATGAACTTCAGGTTTTTAATAAGATGAAAGCAGTCTGGTTGAACGACAGAAACTTGGCCACCAAGCTGGGTAATATGGTAAATATACAATGCAGCAATTGCTGCAAACATTGGCCACTAAGACGACTTTGGCCCAAAGCAAAGAATTTGGAACGCCCCAGATAGCTTGCCGCTTTTGAACGAAGCATTTTTATATACAAAGAGCGTGATTAATGCGTTAGACAAAGTCTGATGATTTGCCAAGCAAATTTTTCTGGATAACAGCGTATGATTGCTGATTGAACATGACTGCAATGACGGCGAGTCGGACTATGCGTTGCGGCCGCGTACGATCAAGCTACTTTCATGAAGTTTTAAATCCTGAATGTGCTTTCACCAACACCAAAAAGCACTATTCACCTAATCAAACGTACGAAGGGCGAGTGATGATCCTATACATCGATAACGAAAGCGAGGACGCGTCTGCCGCACCAACAAATGGTTATGCAAATATTGTTCTCGTTTTAATACATTAGTGCCTATTGTAACGGGATTACATGAGAGTGACCCGTCACTCTCCCAAGGGAGCTGTGGTGTGGCATAC